GTGATGTTGCTTTGACTTTTTTGCATTTGTAACACAACAGTTGTGCACATCTGTTCTTGTATGAGAGCATTGTTCAGGTACATATTTGTGTCACTGTCCTGCTTTGTTTTGGGAAAATCTTTAACAAAATAATCTATCAGTGTAAATCAGACCAGAACTTTTATGTAGTGGTACTACATTTACCACTCTTACAACTGGAAAACCATTTGGTCCAGTTGGTTTTAGCTGACTTTATCCACCATTAAGAGAAAAATAAACAATTAGACCCCAAATTCATTGAGCAAAGTATTTTCAGTTGATAGTTTGGGACAGATGCTGGTGCTTGGACCTCAAATGACCAAAAATACATAAAAGATTCTTGGATTTATCTTGACCATCACATACCCTTTGAATTGTTTTAGGGTTGCACAATATATTGCAAATATATTGCGATATCAGCATGCGCAATATGCATATCACAAAGAACAGATAAATATCGCAATGAATGGTCAGCTCAAATGTTTGCTACACATAATGCATTATGTCAAACGGAAGCATGATGTGTTTTTTTAACAAATCAAATAGAGCTCTTCACCCATTTGGTGGGTTCTCATTGGTTAGATGCCCGCCCCCGAGGTGGACGGCACTTAATTTTGATGGTTACCAAACAGCTTTGTTCTGCTCTTTCTGCTGATTCTGCTTTTCCCAGGATCCACTGATGGCCTTTTCTTGTTAATTTTCTTTTTTCCTTTCCTCACATCTTTTGCTTTTCTCATTTTTATGAATTATTTTTTGTCATTTTCTATTTCTTCGTTTTTGATTATCCTTGTTCCTGAGTTAAGTTTTTATGTATCGCAAGTAATATCGTCATTGCAATATTAATCTCTGTTATCACAGGTTTTCCTAATATCGTGCGGCCCTGAATTGTTATAAGAGTTGCGGTACTGAGAAAGTCACTATAGTGTTGTCCGAATGTGAGATGTCATATTACAAAGTCCTTGGGTCTACTTCACTTATCTGCTTCTGGTGATTTTGGAAGTTTTTAGGAACTGTTTAGGATTCATAGTCATGAGAAGTTCATCTGCCAAATCCTTTTGGCTTCAACGTGATTGTGGTAAAAGGCTTAAACAAAAATACTTAAACACTATTTTGGAATTTGCAAAGGTTTTACTAAAGAATGCAAACAATATTGGAAAAAAATACTCATTCTTTTTAAAATACTATCAGCCATTCTTGAGTTTATAATGCTTGCTGAATAGGAAAATGTTCTTCAACTCCCGTTGTCGGTATCAGCTGCAGAAGGAATATAGATGAGAAACGGTGGGGTCAGAAAAAGCTAGTCTTTTCTATGTCACAGGGAAGTATTCATGACCCCATCCCCCTTGACTTGTTGGTTTAGCACCCAGGAGAGAGCAGAGCATCTTTCAACTATTAGAAGCTAACTGTTAGCATTAGCAACTCCTCAGCATGGCAAAACTTTGTCAGGCTTGTGTTGTTTGTGGAGGTAAAACATCAGTGTTAAATAATTTTACCCAAGAAAAAAAGAGCAAACAAAAGCAGCATAAGAGTAGCTTTGCTGCCGTTTTCCTCCCATCCACGCTTCTGCTAACCGTCTAGCCCCAGGAGTGCTAGAGCTTTTTTCCCACAGTAAACAACCGACGAGGCATTCATTCATACTAGAGACCACAGCAATTGAAAAAGTGAGTGAATGAGTCCAAAGTTTCACAGAAGTACTTGAAATGCTGCAGTAAAGTTGGATCAATATGACATTTAATTGAATCCTGTGAGTCAAAGTTAAAATGAAAGATTTCCAACCAGGACAATAACCACCTGGAAGGTGAGATTAAGGTAGAAAAATTTGCTAAAACATAAAAACTAAAAGCTTTCTTGCAGGGTATTACAAGCAAAAGAATATTCCTCAAATTTATTTAGCTGCAATTGTTTTAGCCTGCAGAACTAAAAGCCTGTTTTTCTTTCCTTTGTAACTATTAAAAAGGTCCTAAAAGTCACTAAACTTGTGCTTGGAGAGCATCAGATGCCCTGATGACTCTTTAAATTGCAGCTGAAACACATTTCTTTGCTCTGATGTGCAAACCCAGCTCACAGCATCTCGAGGAAGTGTTATTTTTTAATTTATTTTTGCAAGCAAAAACACAGCAGTGCTTTCAGGCGATAAAGAGTGTACTTATTTTCTGGCGGGCCGAGTCAGTGCAAGCATTAGATAACGTTTTATTTGATGGTGTTCAATGGCTGACTCGTCCTCACCTCTCGCCCAGGCCTCTCCTGCTCTTCAGCCCACATGTGCTCCCATGTAAAACCGAGCGCTACAGACATCCACCCACTGACTCACATACGCACTCTCAGAAACACACACTCCCGCTCTCTGCATCCTTCCTCTGGAGGATTCTGGCAGTTGTTTATGTTATTGAACTGGTTATCACATTACAGCTGGAACATCACCAGGCTCGCAGAGAAACAGTCCTGCCGCTCTCTCAAGGAAGAAAAGAAAGATGGCAAAGGAAAAGCAAGAGCAGTGAGAGGACTAGATGAGCATATGTTCAGATGTTCTTGCAAGACGTTTGATATTTTACACTCACTTATTTACTCTCTGAAATGTTCAGAATCAGTTAAAAAATGTTGGTACTTTGGTTTAATTATCAGGTTATTTTTAAAACATGTTTTCTAAACAGGTTTACCACTCGTTTTAACAATTTGATCAACTGGTGTTATTCAGTATTCTTTCATTCAGTCATTTTATATTTTAGTGTTGAGACTAGGAAGCCATCTGGAATGCAGGAATGCAGAAGATGGTAATTATAACTTTTACAAAGATTAAAGGTCAACTTCACAGAAAAAAATGTTTTTATTAATATTTATGATTGTAATCGAGTTTTTTATGCAGGCTGAACATGAAAATGGTCTCCAACACTTATCGCCTGGATTAGCTTCTGATAGAAAATAGGCGGTGAAACTTTAGGAGTAGAAAAGCCTGACAGGTCTACGTCACACTGTCACTTAATATTCATGGACTCACCCATCTTGACTCACAATGGGGAAGGCTGTTGTTGGTTTAACGCCCAGGAAACAGCAGAGAATGTCTCAGCTAGTAGAAGCTAACCATTAGCATTAACAACTCCACCACACAGCAGAACTCATCCAGGCTTCTGTTACTTTTGGAGATAAAACATCAACATTGCAGAGTCGGTGGTGGAGTCGTGTTTTTGTTATCAAATCAGAGGCGACATGTCCAAATATCAGGAAATAAGACTCCATATCCTGTTGTCTGTAGCTCAACTCTGATCTGGCTCGCTTCTAGTTCCTGAAACAAGTGCACCAGAGCCCGACATACAAAGCAGTCATTCCTACTAGACACTACTGCAAATGTATTAAAAATGTGAACAAAGTTGACCCTTAAAATGGCCAACATATGTTTTTATTGGTTGAGAGCTTTTACATTTAAAGGACACTTGTTATGATATAATTTAGTCTGGGAGCCTATATAAAACGGGCTACTGTAAGCTAAGAAGCTCCGATAGCTGGGAGAGGCTCGGAGCAGAGCTTCTGCTCCTCAAGCCTGGAGAGGTGGCACACAATTCCTGAAATGAAATACTGACAGCAAAATAATATAGATGTTTTTTCCCCCATGTTTGGAGTCTTTGTAGAGGAATTAGAGACTCGCATGGCAGCACAAAAGGATGCAAAAAGTGAGTTTTGCAAAATATGTCCCATTAGGACCAAATTCAATGTAGAAAACATTAAATTAATACATGTTATATTTTTTAACAATGTTTTACTTCTTGTTCGGTTTTGTTTGAGAATAGCATTAGCCTCTAAAACATATGGTGACATTTATCCAGGAATCCCAATACTCCAGCCTGGTTCCAGTTGGATTATGGTGCAGCTGTCCCTGGTGGGATGCACAGAAAGATGTTGCTGTACCTGAGCTTTTAGCTAACCTTCCTTTTGCACCCACAATGGGCATGAACAAAGACCCAGGCTGCATGCTTGTGCTCTGAGTTTTACTCACAGTAGATTACGGTTGATCATTTATTCCCATCACACTGCAGTGAAGACTAGTTTACCTTAAGCTTGAAGAAGAAAGAAAAAGATTTTGCGGTTATAAAATTTTTCACCGAAAGTTCAAGAAACTTTTCTTTCTTTGCCCTGTTTTGCACACTCAGCAAGAATGCATAATCCAGAGATGATTTCTCTCCCCTCCTCGCTCCCCCATCTACCTCCCTTTCACCCCATGGTTTTGTCATCCTAAGAAGTGCTGTGCTTTCAAATCCCCTCTCTTCTCTGCAGCTCGGCTCTTTTTTCTTCCTTTCTTTCTTTTAACAAACAGATACTCTTCGTCCCAAATATACCGTGTTTCACCACAATTCACTTTGTTATTCACTTTGCACGGAACTTTGTCTGACAAAAGCATTTGGAGAATGTTCACGAGGGCTGCCAGTATCTCCAAATTCCTGAGTATTCCTTCTGTGATGGAGCTTTTCCGTTTCTATCAAAGGAAGAATCTAACGGCGCAGCCTTGGTCTGAATTGCAGAAAAGTTTCTCACTGAACATAATTGCGATAATAACCTAAAGTTGGATTTAAAGATTAGAGTATTTTACATGACTGTGAACTAAAACATGGTCCTTGCAGGTTAAATGTCCGTAGAGTAAAATAACAGCCTGGATTTCTGCTCGCTGTAATTCCACCACCGGCTCCACTGACATTAAGCAAAGGAGCTTAGTAGTTCTGGTCTGTGGTAGCATCTGTTCTTACAGTTGGACACTGTATACACACTCCAGCCACTCACACACACACATGCACAGGGATCATAAAACTGTGCTTTAATGTACTGAGGGGAGAGACAGAAAATATGTGTGTGAGGAGGAGGGTGATACCATATAAAGGGAGGCTCTTCACTGAGGACAGTTCCTTTGGAGTCGCAACAGGTGTGTGTGTGTGTGTGTGTGTGTGTGTGTGTGTGTGTGTGTGTGTGTGTGTGTGTGTTGCAGAGTGGAATTATGAGCTTGACACAGAGGGGAGGGGTAAGGAGGGGGCTTGGAGGGCTTATAAAGGGTCCCCTCTGCCCCACCTGTAGGCTGTCAGCTGTTGGAAGCCTGTTAAAACGTCAGCTGTTTCTGAGGAGAAGTGTGTGTTAGTCAGAGCCAGGGAGCCGGTAGAGGTTAGGCAGGGAGAGCTGGCTCCTCGTGGCCCTTGCCGCCACATTACACATCCAATGTTTTGTAGCTTTTGGGGGTTTGTTTGTGCACAGCATAGCACCACTTGTCTGAATCAAACACCAGAATAATCGGGTTCTGCTTTGCTTCATCTCTGGTCTGTGTCGCTTGTGTCAACAACTTTGTTTTGATGGAGCTGAATACTTAGAGCTTAAATAAAATCTAAGGAAACCTCTGGAATGCTGTCATGGGAATTTATTTTTCAGCAAACCTATGAGAAAGTTTAATAACTTAAAGACATAATGAAGATTGAGTGCTTTTTAAAATGTTCCAGTTGGCGTTGAAGTCTTGACCCTTTCACTCTGGATTTAAAACACGCTCATTCTCACTTTTATTGTCTCTGGGGAAAGATGCAATAACAACACAAGTGCTGTTCACCAGAGGTCGACTGATGTGGGTTTTGTGTGTGCTGCTGATTTCTTTTGGCCGATATCTAGAAGTTTTCCACTTTATTTACATGCAAAATGTCACTAATAACAGTGGACGCACAGCATCTGATTCTACACTGATTCTAACAAACTCTAAGTATTAAAATATACAAATGTAAATAAAAATAAATGTTAGTTGAGAATATTCTTTTGACCATTTATAATGCAGATCTTTTTCCGGAACGTTCATTTGTATGAAAGTCCACAGCAGCACTGGGCTGCCCGTGGACCTGCCTGACGTTAAATTGGCTCTACTGAAGAGGTACATCAGTTGACACGATAAGTAAATTATGGTCAATATTGGCCTGATATGTCGGTCCATCACTACTGTTTATTCGAGAAGTAACTGGGCTTAATGAGAATTCCTTTTAGTTTCTGCCTTAAATTTGAAGAGCTTTGTTGCTCCAGTGGTTCCCAATCTAGGGTCCATGACCCCTCAAGGGGGTCCCCAAAAGATTGGAAGGGGTCCCTGCAATTTTCTCTGTGCTAATTACACACACTGAGGTATAATGAAAACTCTGTAAGAGTTATATCTCTGTATGTCTGTATAAAGTTTGTAAAAATGACTTTTAATGCATATATGTGGGTATGAGTTGGGGTTAGAGGGTTCTTGGCCTGTCTTGGTCACAGACAAGGGGGTCCTCAAGGATAAAAGGCTGGGAACCGCTGATCTATATAACTCCTAGCTTTTATCAGTAGAGTTCAGTAGTATTAGAAAAATATGATTTAATTGAATATTGCATTGACAAACTAACATAGTTTGTCATCAAAATGCTGGCTGACGGCATTAATACTGTATTAGGTAATTTATTGAAGGCTTGTACCTGGTGAGGGTTGAACTCTACCAGTGATGCCCTTTGTCACCAGTTTCTCTCAGTGACGTCATACAGAGAATTTCATGGTGTGTTGAGTTTGGTGGGAAGTTGATTTTGTCTCTGCTTTTGGAGATTGCTGGAATAAAGGTCAGCACTTCCAAATCAAAGGCTATAGTCCTCATCCAATAAATAATAGATAGCCTTTTTCAGTTTTGTCTTAAGTGGGATTTTGGCACTCCAAGGTCGAGCTCGTGGGTAAGAAAAAAGGGAGTAGCAGAGCGTCTACAGCGATGAAGAACCTGTTTCTCAGTGCGGTGAAGGAGCTAAGACTAAAAGTGAAGATTTTGATTAACCAGTTGGATAATAAATAAATAAATAAAGAGTTTCAGAAAATCTGGCGAACAGAGTGAGTTTCCTCTGCAAGGTTGGAGTAGGAGCTCTAGAAGGGAGTCGGAGTAGAGCTGCTGCTCCTCCACCACACGAGGAGGAAGTTCAGGTGGTTCAGATCAGTGGTTTTTGGTCATGTCCTTTGACGAGGACTCAGTATAGTGGGACTATACTTATCTCTATCTGGCGTGGGACTAGAGGTCCTTCCAGAAGAGGTGGACAAAGTGGCTAGATGGAGGACAGCCTGAGCTGCTGCCGATTAGCATGTGTTGATGAAGTCAAAATCCATGAATTCTTGACATTTGTACGACCGTTTTTATCATTAACCTGAAGTTCAAGTCAGAAAGTTTTGAGAACAGGGACAATGTTCATCCATTGTTACTTCAAATAGCATTCAAGCAAGAGTTTCTGACTCAAGTCCTTTCCCTCTAAACACCTCTTTGGAACGCACATTGATGAAAGTTTGATTTCAGATGCCTGCTCTTATTTTTCTGAGTGTAAGCTAAAATTCTGGCATCTCTCTAGTCCCCAGTCGGTCATGCTAGCGTGGGAGTCACAGGTGTTGAGTGATTTATGGCTTTAATTTACTTGATAGATTATAATATAATGAAGAAACAAGCACAGAACATTAATTAGTGGAACACAGCAAGCTACTGTTTTACTTGAACTCTCTTGGCAGGAGGACAGCAAAAGCTTACAACTAAATTAACACTGGAAATAAAATCCACTCTTCACTGGAAAAGCATGAATTTAGCGCTAAACTGTTAAGATTTTCTTTGAACTGTAGTTTGGATTGAGTCAAAATCACACTTGAATCTATAGGAAGTGCTATTCAAGGATTTGGTATTTTCAAATATATGAAACAAAGACAGATGGCAACAGCCTGTAAAAGCGGAAGTCTTGAAGCTCCCTTTGAGTGTGGGGTGGGGGGCTGGAGCCTTTGTGGCGGCAGCTGAGTGAAGCAAACAGTTGAAGGGAACAGGTTGCTGCGTCTGTTCGGGCTCATCTTGCTGCTCTTGACCTTTAGCCTTTAGCAGTGACAGCTCCAGAGACTGGAGATACCATATTTTGTCAGACAGAGAGAGATATGGTTGGATTAAACAGCGAATAGCAAAATGTTGAGCTTAATTTTTTGTGAATTTTTCACAAAATATTACACAGCTATGTATTTTGCTCCCTATTTATCAGATTTTTTTTACCTAAAGAGTAAATTGTTGGGCTGCAGTTTAGAAATCGCATTGCTAGTGTTGCAACAGAACCAAAAACTTGCAGTTTGGATCATTTTACAGTTTTCAATCAGAGATTGGATCATTTTTTGGATCATTAGAAAGAAAATAAAAGTCAAATAACTTTGTTCTTTCTGTATTTTGTAGAACACATAGTGCAACTATTTTCTGCTCAATTTGCAACTTGTTAGATGAAATAGGGATTACAGAGAGGTACGATTACTGATTAAATGTTAAAATGGCTTGCTTAAGTTCACACTCAGTCTATGCGTTTCCTGCTTTTTCTCATTTTCTCACCTTTCTGAAGCACCGTTTATTTTTATTTCCTCCATTACAGATTTGTCCCCAACAATATTTACAGGTACCACCATGGTAATGTAATAACTGTCCCTGGCATTTTGCGCGCACCACCCCCTTGATGGAGGTACGTGTGTGCAGCGCTGCACCGTCAAACTGGAGGCAAGCATGTGTGTGTGTTCATTTTTGCAGTTTGTATCATCGTTGTATTTTACTAGAAAGCCAAAATACTCCCATACATGTGACTTGGTCTCATCCACCAGCCATGACCACCACTGTGCTTTTCTTGTTTGGATTAACAGGTGGCGCCTTGGCCCTCGACGTGACCAATCTGCGGATCACGTGCATAGAGAACATAGAGAAATCTGTGCGGATCCTGGACCAATGATGATTTGTTGCACCCCTATTACTGCTCTGGCAAGCCATTCTATATATGTAAATATATAGTCCGGCCATGAACCATTGAAACAGATCACTTAAAACAATGGAATTAATGGTTGTGTTTCAAATGATCTCTGCACACAAATGGTCAACGCTAAAACCAATCAGAGCAAAAATGTGACGTACTCACCGCTATGGATGTCAGTGAATGTGGCAACTCGCTAGTCAGTCAAAGAAGAAGCAACTACATTCTTCTTCAAATCAAAGGACTTAAGTACCTTTACATTTTCTAAAGTTGATGCCAAAGCTGTTTCAAACAAGAGCCAACGCCATCTTTGTAGTTTTTCTCTGTCGCAGCTTGCTCGTCAATTATAAAGCGCAGTAATCGGCCAAACCCAAAACTGTTCAGGCTGTTCAGGCCCTGCTGTCACACCTCAAGTGAATGGCTGTCTGGTAATGTTTCTTTTATTTTGAATATGTGAGTGTTTTGTTTTTATGGATTGACTTTTTAGGTGGTATGAAGTGCACACATTCAGTTACTTATCGGTTTTGGTCTGTAGGTGTTTATATGATTGTTTAAAATGTTTTTCTTTGAGTTGCCAGTGGCCTTGGAGTTGGAGCAGCTGTAGCGGATCACATTACTTGGCCTAATCCTAACCCATTGGGTCATACTAACTCTCAAGGGAGAAGATTCCTGTGTATGTGTATTTAGTTGTTCTCTTTTGTAAATAGTAGTTGGGTTTTAATAGTAATATGTATTCATTTTAAGCAACTCAAACATAATGGACTGATTGGTATGTATTTGTTAAGGGTAGATTATTTATGTACTTTGTTAATTGATGTCTCCCCACCCTGGTGTGTTGGCAGTGGTCTGATCAGCCACTATTTAAGTTGATCCTGTTGTGTCTGTAGTCAGGTCTATGTTTTTTGTACATGTCTGTAGTCAGGTCTTGAGTTTAGGTTCCTTTATTATGTCATTTCAAGTACTGGTTGGAACCGTCTTTTGAGAAAAGCAAAAAAAAGTAATGAATTAAGACGTCAAGAAAATCATCAGTGCTTTCCTGGCTGGTTTGTGCAAGTCCCTGACAGGTAGTCCTGCTGAGGCTACAGTGGAGTGTAGACAGATCTGCTGAGCAAAATCATATGCTCTTTCTTTGGTTGGTCTCGATTTCTAGGCTAACACTTTTCAAAAGGGTTTCATGCCGTTTTCAGTCAAAAATCTACTATATGTACTGTAGAGAATCGAGTCCTGCTTGTATGTGTATCTTTTCTTTGAAATGTTCATTTGTTTAATTTTATTATGCTGTAATATCTTTCAAGAGGGTGAAGAGAAAAAAACTGGAATAAACCGTGAATAATGTAGGTCAGACTCAAGAGAAAAGCTCACTGTGGTACCGCACCAGAGAAAAGCTTTGTCATTTTTTCCCCCTTTTTTCCCCGCGTCTTCTAAAGCGAGACAGATTTGCATAATCAGGATATTCACTGTCAAACCCTTGAAGGCAAATCATGTTTATTCGACAACCTATTAGTCATTATGTGCAGAGACAAAGCACCAAATAAGCTTGTCTTTAACAAGCCCTCTTGAGTTTTTCTTTGTCCTGACTCATCACTCAAGTGGCACACCTTTCCCATCCACTTGCACTCAAAAAGTAATCATTTTACCTTTTTTCCACAATGGTTCCCAATGATTTTCAGCTCCTTGGTAGGATGTTCATCTGTGTGAGAGCTGTAGCTTATATACTTTTTTTTGGTTTTCTTTCAACATAAATACACCTGCCGTAGGGCAAAGGAGCTGCTTCATCTCAGAAGAGAGAATAGATATCCCTTGCTCGGTGTTTGTGCCTCCCCCACCTCTCACTGTTGCCGGATCCCCACCACATGTAGCAAGCACCACACAGTCTTGGCCAACGCTTGCCTTTCTGTCAGGAAGAGCGGAGGTAGCCTCATAGATCCCCATTTTAGGCTCGGGGCCAAGAGCGTATGTTGAACATGGTGTGCCCCAGGCAGTCGTGCACACTGATGACAAATGTGGATGGCAAGCAGGGGAGAAAACCTTGAGAATGGGCAGAGAGATAAGGCCTTCAGAGCTTGTGTTTGTTATGGGAGCAATTTTGTATTCGGCTCTCTTGACTTTAGGATTGTTGAGTTTAGTAGAGCTGTATATTTTGTTTTCCCATCCATGGGCAAGTTTCTTTCTCCTGACCAATGAAGAGAGCTGTTTTGTTTCAGTCTTTCTCTTCATAGATTTCTCCATATAAGTTTCAACTTCTAAACAAAATTAGTCTTTGGTTTCTAGGCAAATACGTGCCTGCGTCCATAAATTATTTTCGCTTTGAGGGGAAACTCTGTGTCACAACTGTTTAGCAGACTCCCGGCCTTCCATTTCCCACACCCTCAAGCCTCCCTCAGAGATTTCAAGGTCAGGAAAGGGCTTGGGTCGAGATTCATTGCTTGGGAAGCTGAGTTCCTGCCGCACATGATCTCAGAGAGCCTGGCTCTCCTTTTAAAGTCCTGCTGGTCATCTGGTGGCATCACACGTACTTCAGATCTGCCAGGGTTACTTTGGATTCCCATTTTTGTCAGATCACAACCAGTGGACTTCTCTGGAGCTGATAAGGATGGAAAAATATGGTAATGAAGCTGTTGGTCGAACTTCTGGCTAAAGGTACAAGATACCTCCAGTGTGTTGAACTCCGACAGCTGAGCATGTAAGTGTGTGTCAATTTAAGAGTTTGTGTGTGTGTGTGGGGGGCCTTTAAGGGTCCTGTGGAACTAAAGTTATGTAGGCAGCTGCTGTTGTACTGCCAGCAGCTCACGATCCAAGAGGAAGATGTCCACTCACACAAATGCACGGGGGACAGTTTGGTGTGCAACAAGGATCTAACACAACTGGGTCACCAGCTAGTTCTCACACTTGCAGGCCACACACACACACACACACACACACACACACACACACACACACACACACACACACACACACACACACACACACACACACACACACACACACACACACACACACACACACACACACACACACACACACACACACACACACACACACACACGTGTATACATGCACACTTTTTCCAAGTTCTTGTTTCTGTCCAGCCAACAGAAGAAACACCAAAGAAACTCGAAGGAACGCTATTTAATATGTGAGAAGTCCAATAAAGAACCAAACAGGAGTTTATTAAAAATAAATACATTTATGAGAAATGTTCACCACATTTTACACTTGCTAAGTTATTGCTACATAATGAAATAATTTATATGGCTGGCTGAATACTCCATTTAAGAGCTGGTCAACAGTTTGCCAACATGGACACTGATGAATTGGTGGCAGTTGCTGAAGGCATATTAGGGCAAAGGGTGACCTGGGAGGAGTTAGTGGGTGAAGAGGGAGGAGATTAATGTACTTGTGGGGCTGTGAGAGGTGGTGCTGGGGGTGTGGGTGGGGGGTGATGAGAAGCAGTAATGCCAGGGGAGAGGGGAGGCTTGATGGTGGCGTGAGGTGTTTGGTGAGAGGGGTGATTTGGGGTAGCGTTCCACCAACAGTTGTCACCTCAGCAGTCAGAGTGGCACATGCTGCTCTGAGCTGGGCCCTCCATGCGATCTCTAAACTGGACTATCTTGTGTTTTATTTTGTTTTTGTCTTTTCTCTCTGGTCAAACCAGAAGCCATACAACAGCCCGTTCTCCGGTTTGGTTTCGGCACCTTTGTTCTTTGACGGTAAGAAACATAGCTGTTTGGTCAAGGTTCAGGCCAAAAGTTCACGTTTTTCAACTTTCTGTATTTCTGCTGCTTTGAACTTTTGGGGGGAAAAAAAGATTCTGAGGAATATTTCTTTCTAGATTCTCTAATCAGTCTGGGAAGCCATCAGTTGGGAGCCCCACTGGCGCCTTAGAGGACTTTGTGAGGTAGATAGTGAAGAGTGTGAGGTTCCTATCTGTGTGGCCTGTTGTACATCGTCAGCCGCCATGCTGACACCTCCACCCCCCAACCCTAAGTCCACGTTGACGCGATCAAGAGCAGAGGCTGTGATTTATGGAGGATAGCTTCTGTTTTTGTAGGGCTCCTAACATAACACCTGTTCCCTTTTTTCCAGGAATTCAAGGCCTACGTGACCATTAACTTGGTGTGAGCATTTTGCCATGCTCAAAACACCCGTTGTAATACTATTTTGGTCCAAAAGTGTTATTTTTAGCCCAGGGTTTGCTTTAGTTACATATTATGATTTTAGCTATTGCGGGACTTTATATGTTAAACAATTTCAATTACCTTTTGGTTCTGGTTTTCTTCAGATCATCATGACATTTCTTACTAATGCAAAGCACATTGAATTGCCTCTTTGTATGAAACACGCTAATAGGAATGTAAGAAAATATCAATCTGGCAATATATTGTGATATTTTTCCTGGGATATTACGTCGATATTAAAAAGCCTTGTATCTAATTTTTGGAAGAATTGAAATGCAAATATTTGTGTAATTTCTTTTCTTTTGGTGCAATTCAAATGCCGACTGCTAGTTGGCAGCAGTTTGCGATGGGTTTAGTTTCCTCCAATGAAATGTAAATCCCTCTATTATGGTTCAGATACCTTATGTTAAACATATTAAGTATCAGTTTGGACTGCTTACTGAACGATCCTACAATAAATTCAGTAAAAAAAAATCTCTAATGGTAAAATGGTAAATGGCCTGTATTTTATATAGCGACTTCTAGAGTCCTGGAACCCCCCAAGGCGCTTTACAACACAATCAGTCATTCACCCATTCACACACACATTCACACACTGGTGGGGATGAGCTACGATGTAGCCACAGCTGCCCTGGGGCGCACTGACAGAGGAGAGGCTGCCGAGCACCGGCGCCACCGGTCCCTCCGACCACCACCAGCAGGCAAGGTGGTTAAGTCTCTTGCCCAAGGACACAACGACAGCGACAGACTGAGCGGGGCTCGGACCTGCAACCTTCCGATTTTGGGGCGAGCACTTAACTCCTGTTCGACCGTCACCCATAATAATAACGTCTAACTGAATGTATCACAGTATGTAGTGATATATTGTATCGTCTCCCCTGTATTGTGATATATATCGTATCGCCAGAATTTCACCAATACACATCCCTACTATATAAATGAAGCTGCCTTGCCTTGACTGTTAGTCATATGATCGGTGCCTCATTCTCCTAATTAGTGCGTGGATAATAACAGAAAAAAATTTTCTTCGGGATTCTTAAACTATTATTGATTTGTCTTAACCTAGATTCTAGACCGTCATTTGCCGAAACAAAAATATTTTGCTTTGCGTTTTGGTCAAGCAGCACTCCATTGGAACCTTTGCTGCCCCGGCCAGTGTTGTGGCCGGCCAATCACAGCGTGCTTATTTAGCAAGACTATGTATTTTTGCCTTCTTCCCTTCTTCCTCCACGATGTATGGCAGACTGCCCTGGTGACTGACATCTGTAGCTGTCCAATCACAGCACTCTCTTGCTTTGGTGGGCCAATCACATCACTCTTGGTTTGGTGGGCCAATCACAGCGCTCTATCAATAACGTGGGCGAGATGTTGGTACAAATAAGAAAACTATGATGTGACGGCTCCGTAGCGGATCAATCACAGCACTCTATTGGTTTGGTGGGCAAATAACAACACTGTTGTTGGGCAGGATGTTACTGAAAAAACAAAGATGGCAACGGCTCATTTGAAATGGCTTTGACATCAACTTTGGACTATTTTGACTTGGACTTTTCTTCTTTGACTCATGAGCAGATAGAGGTACTTAGGTTTATTTAGCATGAGGACGTATTTGCATCTTCTTTGACAGAGTATGGCAGACTGCCTCGTTGACTGACATCCTTAGTGGTCAATAAGTCACGTTGTTTTTAATTATCCAATAGTATGCGGAGACACAACCGTAGAGCCTGCCCCACAACTGAGAGCCGTCAATGGACTGTGGCCAGACATATATTCGCGTAAATAGGATGGCTTGCCAGGCTAGATTTGTCTTGTTTCCTGCTGCATTTTAAGAGAAGGATGGACAGATTTGCAGGTCTCCAAGCAGCTGCTCGACAGTTGTTGTGAAGGGTGTCTTGACAACAAAGCCACCTTGGCGGCATCTCCTGTGGTCAGATTAAAAGATGCCTTTCTGAGCTGAGAGGTCCCATACCTCTAAAACGCACGCACGCACGCACACACACACACACACACACACACACACACACACACACACACACACACACACACACACACACACACACACACACACACACACACACACACACACACACACACACAATTACAATTACTTATTGTTTCTCTTTGAAAATGATGTTCTCTTCAGGGAACATCAGTATTGAAGAATTGCTGTTTAGTGCATACAGTCCACACGGAATACCAACGTTTAATTGTTAACGATAGATAACGCTCACAAAATATTTGTGGCAGACACAATAAATATGCAGGTATTTTTCTGGGCAAACAAAACATAAAGCACGCCTCCTCCCACTCACCTGCATGCGTCACAAATAGCCCTGATAGCGCAGGAGATAAAAGGCTATATTTAAATGTCCGTCGGTTTTCCTCATCTCACTTGTCTGGCTTTTGTTGCAGGACTCGCTCACCAAAACGTGTTTAGCTGGTGATGGTGAACCTTTGTACGGGTTTCACACCCTTTTTTTTCTGAAAGTGTCCCACTGATGTCATGAGTCTTTTGTTTAGAAGGCATTTCTGACTGTCAGACGCTTTGTTGCAGAGTTAAAGTGATGGGAAAGCAACTGGGGAAGCCTGTAAAACACTTTATTCTTTCGATTATATTTGTGATGTGATCTGTAAGAAAACATATTTAGTGCTTAAACTATTTGCCATGATATTATCCAAGCAACTCCGGTTTCAGATTAGAAATTCTGAGCGATTACAAAATGAATTTCATGCTATTTTTAGTCCTAAACATCGCTGACATCATTTCTAATGTTGTACACAACATTGAAACAGCTTAACCATTATAGAAATGAGGAAATACTCGTATCATATTTGTAGTCTATAACTGGATTTTTTAAATCAATAACAGGTGTGCCAATTTTTGACCTTAGTTGACATTTTTGTTTTGTAGGTAGAGACAAAATTAACTTTTTAAAATCCATTTTACGCAGAAAGTACCTGAGATTAGTTTTTATTTTACTTTAGATTTTGTTGCATGTCTGGAATTAAACTTTATGTCAACAAAATAAACAATCTTGATGTTGACATTTAAGGATCCATCTTCACGTGCGACTATGCATGTATTAGGTTGCAGTTTCAGGCTTTCTAGTTTTCATTTCAACAGTTCTGATTGTTATTGTTGTTATTGTAAGTGTTTGGTCGTGGTGTACCCTGACAGGTCCAACAGCAAAGGCGAGGAGTCTAGGAGTCAGTAGGTGACTTCACTAAAAAGTATTACTTGGTTTGTGAACAAATCTGTATTCTAGATTCTTTCCAAGCCTCTGGACAAAAGGCATCATTGTGCGTTTCTCTGTAGGTGTTTGTGTGTTGTTCCACGGACGGGCGTGTGATAGGTATTTTCCCGGTATTATTCTTGCCTTTCTGCCAGAGGCTATGAACACAAACAGCAGATCAGTGACAGTTGGGGCAGCCTGCGCTTTTTGTGTGGGCGTGTGCTTTTCTTCATCTTCAGCATTTGTCTTCACATACACATTTTGGATTGTGT